GACAAACAGTGTTCGCCCCTCACCGCAGCTGGGCAGGGTCTGCTCGGTCCCGGGCAGGGTCTGTGCAGTCCCGGGCAGGGTCTGTGCAGTCCCGGGCAGGGTCTGTGCAGTCCCGGGCAGGGTCTGTTCGGTCCCAGGGAGGGTCTGTTCAGTCCCGGCAGGGTCTGTTCGGTCCCAGGGAGGGTCTGCTCGGTCCCGGGCAGGGTCTGTTCGGTCCCCGGCAGGGTCTGTGCAGTCCCGGGCAGGGTTTGCTCGGTCCCAGGGAGGGTCTGTTCGGTCCCAGGGAGGGTCTGTTCAGCCCTGCGGCACCGCAGGGACACGGTGGGTGTGTTTTCCTGAACCAACCTTCAGCAAATATCCCCGATCCCCATCGGAAGCACAGCCGGGGGTCTGCGGGCAGCTCAGGGAGCCCGGGGGGCTCTGCCTCCACAGCAGCTGCATTTAACTCAGGTCCCTCTCTTCTCCTGCAGAACTGACACCTAAACCCACTGCAGCAGAACCGAGATGGAAACCATGCACGAGCTGATCCCCTTCGCCAAAGAAATGCTGAGCCAGAAGCCCAACAGGAAGATGGTCAAGCTGTACATGCTGGGCAGCGTGCTGGCGTTCTTTGGGGTGGTCATCGGGCTGGTGGAGACCGTGTGCAGCCCCTTCAGCTCCGAGGCCAGGCTGGAGGACGAGGAGGACAAGAAGCGGCCGGCGGCAGCCCGGGAGCAGCGGCTGCGGCAGAAACGGGAGGATTTGGTGCTGGAAAAGGCCAAGGCAGCCCCGGCGCTGCAGAGAGCCCTGGTGACCCGGCACCACGCGTCCTAGGCCGGCCCAGCCCCGCACACAGACTCTGCCCGCACAGCTGCTCCCAGCACCAGGAGAAGGCTCGGCTGAAGGATGCTGCACGTGTGAGACTCGCCAGAAGTGAAGGGTTTTATTTGCTGCTGTGCAGCAGTGGGGAAAAATACCTTTTGTTGGTATAAAGCTGTGCACGATGCACAGCGTGGTTTCTTATTTTTCTAAGGACGCGTTTTACACCATTTTGCAAGATCAATAAATGTTTTATACGGTACCGCTGCTCTCTCTTGCCGCGTTTATTTTCAAAGCCTTCTCGTGCTGATTTGCAAAGAGGTTTTGCTCCTTTTGTGGGGAGAGGGGGACCTAGGGGACAGTGGAGGAGGGAGCTGCCCCCTCCCCATAAATCCCAGTGAGGCTGCTCTGGGGGTCTGTCTGTCTGTCCCTCTGGCAGCTGCTCCTTCCCAAAGGGGCCAGCTGGGGAGGAGGTGGCACTTGTGTCACACGAGCCGGAGGTGGGGCTGTACCGCGGGGTTATCTGGGTTCAGTGGCACAGATTTGTCTCTGCCGTGGCCACGTCTGCACAGAACTGCTCTGAAATAAATCAAAACCCCATTCTTGCCCCGGCCGTCCTCCAACAGGCTCCAGCTGCTGCACAGCTCAAGATCTTAAAAACAAAACCAAAAGCCTCGTGCCTTTCCTGGGAGCTTTCACCAAGCCAGCACAGACACCTGATTGTGCAGAGTAACTTGGTCACAGATGGAAAAACACGGAGATGGCACAGTCAGGCTGGGGGGTGTGGAAATGTTCCAGGCTTCAGGCTCTACCCAGAGCGCTGCCAGGATCATTCGAGGACTTTCACCTATTTAAAACATGTTCTGGGGCTTAGCAAGAATCTGTTGCATTTGGGATTGTGTCATGTCAGTCAAATAAAGTCTCCAGGCAGCCACAGCTGAGTGATCCTGACCACACCGGAGAGGGGAGGGAGGGAAACAGGCCCTGCCAGTGCTGAGCAGGGCAGAAAATCCTCTTTCATCTGCTCAAAGATACCCACAGGGCAGGGGGAGTAGCAGGATGCACACCTTGCACAGAAACTGGGAGCTGCACCAGCAATGTGCCACTCTCCAGCTAAAAGCAAATCAGTGGGGCCAAAAACTGGCTCATGGAAAATGCAAATCCCTTGCCAGACCTCAGTGCCCAGTGCCCAGCTCCTCCCAGAGCTGCACAAGGTAAGATCAGGACCTGAAAATACCAGAATGTGGCTGAAGTTCACTATTTCCTTTTCATAATACATAACCCACAATTCATTTTGTTGACAATGATTTCTCTCACCAGAACAGAGTGGAGAAAGAATCCTCCCAGTATCTGCACCAAAACTCTGCTCAAGCTTTATATCAACTCTAAAGTACCTTTTCCTCAATTAAAAGTATAATTTAAATAGCCTTTGAGAATTACTTCATTCAGTCTGTAACAAACCCTTTTGTCTCTGGCGAGGCTGAACAAGCACCCCTCACTGATAGCAATGGAAGGTTCATGGGAAAAGAGGAGAATTCAGACCCAAAGGGAGCGATCAGCTGAGGAGTGTCCATTGTCCTGCCCATTCCAGCCTTTAAAGAGGTTTTCCATTTACAGCAGGGCCTCGGGGAAGGCTGGGCTGGAATTCCCTGGGCACAGCTGGGATGGAGCAGGGAGCTGTGGCTGTGTCAGGCTGGGTCTGTCCTGCAGCAGGGTCAGGCTGACAGGGCTCAGAGCGAGGTGAGAGTCAGAGCCGGGAGCTCTCAGCAGCCCAGAGCAGCGCTCCTGCACAAGCTCCAGGTGTCTGATCCTCGGGAAGGGAGCACAGGGAGCTCGGGGGGCTCCAGGTGAGCCCTCCAGGCTGGCCCCAGCACTCCTGGCTGCAGACCCCAGCTTCGCCTGCCCTGCTGCCCACACCTCCTCTTGCCAGGGCTCCGACCCCGGGGTCACCAGCTTAAGGCAAAGAGGGTTGTGAACAGTCAAAATAGCTGCTGCTAAGACAGCTAAGGGGATTAGACAGCCAAAGGGCAGCCCTGCTCCGGCAGGCACCCCGGGCAGCGCGGCCCTGCAGGGGACGAGCCTCGGGTGGCCACTGGGTACAGCCACCGGGCACAGCCACCAGGCACGGCCACTGGGCACGGCCACCAGGCACAGCCACCGGGGCCAGCCCAGGCTGCAGGACAGCCCTGCCCGCTGCCACCTCCCCAGGGACCGCAGACACCTGGGGCAGCTCTGGCTGCCTGCACAGGGGGAATCAGACGAGGATTAATCATACATTTCACCACCATGACCACGTAAATCGTGTTTAAGCCACGCAATGAGGCAGGGGGCTGGGGGAGCCCTTGGACACGGCTCCAGCGGGGATGGGGGACCAGCCCAGCGCAGGGCAGGGGAAAGGCTTCAGCAAAACTTCCCATCTTTAAAGGCCAGACAAACCTGCAGCACAGCCAGGGACACAACAGCATCCCCCAGCACTCAGCACCATCCCCACAGCCCCCGGTGAAGCACAAAGACAAAGCTGAATGGTAAATACTGGGGCAGGGCAGAGGGAAACCAGATGGGATGAGGCACACAGGACCAGGGAGCGGCTGGGGACAGCAAATGGAGCATTTAAGGATGAGTTAAACCCAGATCCTGAGGGAAAAACTCCTGGGGAGAGCCACGCATTGCCCCAGGGCTGAGTTACACTGCATGAGGTGGATTTCTGTTCTTCTCACACTTGTCTGAAGCTGCTTTATTCCAACCTGTAAACGTGGCACTTTCCTGGTACATTAAATCCTCAGGAAAAATGCAGCTGGCACAAAATCCGGTGAGTTTTTGTCTGTACCCATCTTTTCAAAGATCTGATTTCAGGCTGGAGCTGTCACCCAGCCCCTCAGGAGCAGCAGCCCTGCCCTCACAGCTCAGCCACTTCAAAGGCAGGAGCAGAATGTCTCCAGGGAGCCTCACTCGCTATTTGCAGTGTGGACACTGGATATTCCAGGCTAAATTTAGGGGTGCAGATAAGAATATCAGCCTCAGCCACCCAGCTCCAAGGGCACCGGGAACATGGCCAGCAGCCAAGGCTCAGAGCAGCCACAGGTCCAACGATGAAATTTCAAGGCAGCAATTCCCAGTTTGGTCACATAGGGAAAAAACCACAGATATAGGGCTTGGAAATGACTTAAACATCACATCATTTTCTCTAAAGCAGCAGAGTGTAGAAATGTGATGTCAAAGCAAAGCAAGCCCATCCTACAATCGTCTCCTCTCCCTCGGGACTGGGAGTGCATTTCCAGGGGTGGAGATGTGACAGCCACGGGCTTCTGCAGGATGTGCAAGCAGAGAAGTAGAACTGAGAGCAGCCCTTTATATCGTGATGGTCCTGTCTGTAAAGGAAGGAATTAGAGCTCTGTTCATGGCAAAGGGACAGCTGGGTAGGAAAGACAGAATTTTAATGTATTTGGGACAAAAGAAAGCAAGAGGAGAGAGAAAAAAAAAGAAAAAAGAAAAAGGGAAGTCCTCTGCATTTGACCATGATTTGAAAAAAGATTTGATAGTGATTTGAAAAAAGCCAAATAGCACTCAAAAAAAGAAAAAATAGAAGCAGTATCCAGATTGCTGCCAAGTGTTTTTGAGTCTTGGAGCTGCCTGCACAAACCTGCCCGAGCCTCAGCCGTGCCCTGGAACGCGCTCCCTGCAGGGGCTCTCCCAGCTCCCCTCTCCCAGTCTGCAGAACAAGTTTCCTTCCCAGATTCCTTTCCTCCTGGCAGAAATCCCCTCGAGCAGAGGCACAGGAGCATCCCCAGCTGAAGGCACAGGGCAGGGAGGGATGAGCACAGGCTCACTCCACAGCTCCGGGCTCTGCCCCACCAAGGCTGGGAGCAGCCGGGATCACAAAACCCTTCCTCACCAGCCTGTCCTGCCCCCCTCTCCCCGCCCCCAGGAAAAACTTCAAAACAAGTTCTTAAGTTGCACACAGGAAAAGGAAGCCAGAAAAAGCCGTGAGTGGGAGTGAGGAGCACCCTGGAGGGGAGCTGGGAGCAAACCTCAGCCCCGCTCCCTTCCACACACCAAACAGCACCAAAACTGCTGATACAGGAAACCTGGGCCCACTTCTGACCAAAATATTCCATAGTTCAGTCCTTTATTAGCAGCTGCTTCACAAAACCCAACCCAACCCCACAATCCTCGTCACCACCAGCGAGGCAGGGCAGCTCTGGGATCCCTCAGAGCCTCCAGCCCCACATCCCCTGCTGCCACCACGGAGCAAAGAGCACCATCCCTTCCCCTGACCCTTGCAGATGGTGCACAAAGGTTGGTGCTTATTGCTTTACTAATGCCAGTAATAAACTAAAATATCTTGAAAAGAGCCTCTCTCTCTGCCGGCCGCAGACAAGATCCCAGCTGAGATATGGTTAATTACTTCATTTTCTCTCCTTTTCCAGAGCCAAGGAATGGGATGGTTGATTTCATTCCATGATCACAACCCAAGCTCCAAGCAAAGGGAGGCAGGAAAAGCAGTGACAGCACTGGTGTTACCTGACCAAGCATGGGCTGAGTGCTTCTTATCAGAGGGAAAGGCAGAAAAGGAAAAAGACATCCACAAAGCAGCAGCAAGGCCAGAGAGCAGCACTGCCCTCCCAGGCACACCACTGAATTAAAGCACATGGATTTTAAATATGTAATATGAGGGGATAAAACACATTAAACAATTCTATCTGCTTCTGTTCCAGAGAGACAAGCAGAGTGCTGTGCCCACAGAAATCAGAACCACAGAGCTGCTGCCCTGCAAACACAGCTTTTGTCCCAGCAGAGAAGGCTGGCTGGGCAGTTCCAGGAGCTCCCTGAGCATTTCCCCATCACTGGTGCTGTGGGATGGAGATCCCAGCCCCAGACCAAAGCTGGGACATGGTTTATCCCTATGGCACAAGATCCACAGCACTGAATCTGCTGCTGCTGAGGTTTGGGGGGTTCTGTGGGTTTTCCTCAAGATTATATTCATCTAAAAGTCATAACAAAGCTCTTGCAAAACCCAAAGGAGGAACTGTGGCAGCAAGGCCACTGATTTCTCTGCAGGAAACACATCTGGTGTTTCCCTGCAAACCTCCCCGTGCCCCTTGGGGCTGAGGTGGCTGCACCCCACAAATGGGTCCAGCTCCCTCGTCTGCTCACAGCCAAAAAAACAGAAAAAGAGGTTAAAAACTCAGCCCTGCCTCAGCAGAGCATTGCTGGGGCTCCTTGGGGTGCGAGGTGCTGCTGAGTCCCCGCTGCCCCTGGGGC